CCTTTGACATTCGATTAACATGGAACAAACATATTCAGAACATACATGATTCAGCTGGCAAATGTATCAACTACATGCGACTAATTGCAGGTAAACACACGAACAGCACATCCACAACATCCCTGAAAATATACAAAACATTTGTTCGCCCACTTATAGAATACGGATGCCAAATAACCTAAATTATGTCAAAAATAATCTCAAAAAATGATAAATTTAACAAAGTAAAGCAATAAGATTATTTCTAAGGCTCCCTAAATTTACCCCCAGAAAAAAATTACACAAAATCAATAATCTTCACAAGTTAAAGAGTACATTAACCGAATTTTCAAATATTACAAAAAGTCGGAAAAAATCTCAAGCGCTCTCACCAACATACCTCGCTATACAATCTATTCTGTGAACAAGAAAATAGAAACAAAAACACACGCGCACAAAGGATTGATTATTATGTTATGTGTATTAATCATCATGTATTACCTTACAGCCAGGGCACAGGACAGTTAGATTATTCGCCATATGTCCTGTGAAAGTGGGTTTTCTCCGGGCAGTCCGGTTTCCCCTAAATCTAAATTTAAACGGGCACAGGACCTTTGGTCCCCGACTCCTTGAAAAGGGCCGAAAACCTGTCTCAATGGAATTATAATCACAATTTTTGACAAATTTATCTGAATAACTGCTCTTAACAACAACAAAAAAAATTAAATCTCCTCAAATCAACGCGATCTAAAACTCCATACTTCGAATGCCTGTCTGGACCTGCTTGCCTCGCCGACTTCATCGACTCAACCAAACCTCATTTTTCCTCCTCCGACATTCTTCACAGCTTTTTTTTTTTGTCGTCTGATAATCTTATTAAATACAACTACAACTACTGAAGTATTTTAATTTCACGTACGGGGTTGAAGGGGAACAATAGTTCCAAAACACCCCAGTTGGGAAGAGCAAGCAAACACAAATTTGCTTTCTCTTCTGTCAAACAACATTATTGCCACGATTAGTTGTTGTTTTTTTCAGTGAAATGATGAACACGAATCTTACCATCAGCGTTAACAAGCCGGAAACAGGATTCATTTAAAAATATGACACGTCACCAATGTTCTGACTGTATGTTGGATGGGAGCTATGCTAACAATTTAGGTTGGGCTTAGTATAGTAATACCTTAACATCGTGGTATTTATGTCCAAATATCATTATGGGGGCTTGAATGTCAACTTCAAGAACAGTTTTCCTGTATCCTCCAATTGATGTATTGTATTACAATTATTTATTTCTTTTTACTGAATTTTTTATTTTATTTTGAGCAACCACCTTTTGACATCTGGCTGCAGACGGAATACAAATGCACTTAGTCTTGTCAAACTGGGAAATGTATGTTATATTAAACATCTACATATGTAGTTTGTATAATGTTCTATGGACATTATGAACGATTTATTAGAAGAGGAAACAATTTTATCAGACACCTGTAGAAAGATATGTAATTCAGCATTTCACCTATCACAAAAAAACATATATAATGACAAAATATAACATCAAATTACTTTAAATAGCACCTGTAACCTTATATCAGTTCATATTAAACATTCAATACTTGGTTGGTCCTTTTCGCACTCCAATGACCACCCACTAGGTGCCGTGGCATGCTGTCGATGAAGTTATTGATGTAATCCACCGTGATTTCATCTCAACTTGTCACAAGAAGGCGTTGCAATTCAGCTGCAGTAGATTGTTTAGGGTAGTGGTTAGCAATTTTCGGCTCAATTCTACTAAACAGTTATCAATGATATTACAATATGGAGACTTTGCTGGCCATGGCAGTCTTGTAATGTCTTCCTGGTAGAGATAATCCTGTACAATACGCACACTGTGGGCAGTGACGTTGTCATCCTGAAATACAAAGTTATTGCCAAACCTTGTCCTATCATTTGGCAGAAATATCATCTCATGTGATGCCTGTAGGAGGCGCCATTGACGTTCCACTGGAGAATATGAAGAGCAGTTTTCCACCATGATGAATAGCTGCCCAAACATGTACTGCACCACCTCCTGTGTGAAAAACAGTCTTCCCGCATTTGTTCTTCAAGCAAATGACGAACACGAATCCTACCATGAGCATTAACAAGCCGGAAACAGGACTCATCTGAAGATGTCCTAACTGTAAGTTGGCATGTTATCTTGCCCAAATAACATGGGGACGGTGGTGAAATCTGGTTAATATCAGTTTGTAGATAACTCTTCTTGCAAAATATTTTTGTTTGGTCATTCCCCTAGTCACCGTGATATCCTGGAATGAATATGTTTATGCCATTCCTGTCGTAAGGTGTTGCAATATTTCTTTCAAACTTGACGTGTTAACCTGATAAAAACACAGTCATCTCAGACAGTAGTTTTTCGGCGTCTACCAGTAGACTTTCCTGGAACAACGTTTCTTGTAGTCCGATGACGTTTCAGGATTCTGGATTCTGTGTACTGGAGGTACATTACTGTTCTTGCAATGTCCATTTGCTTGTACCATTTCTGGACAGTCGAACAGTTTGACACCCTATAACTGCTGTTTCACGAGGACATATGACTCTGCAACAAAATAACTCGTACATGTTTGTCTGATTATACGATATCTTCGCTGTTACTACTCGGACATATACTCAATAACTACTCCATGCATGTAGACAGTAACATATGAAAACAGTATTCAAACAGTTTGGACCAGACTGTATATGCACGAAAATGCAATTAAAATCTTGAAATTGTAAGATTCATATTATTTGTTTGTTTGTTATTCAGCACGAAGCTACGTAATAGACTATCAGTTCTGTGCCTACCGTGGGTATCGAAAGCTGATTTTTAGTGTTATAAACTTTCAAACTTATTGCTGAGCCACTGAGGGGCAATACGTTTGGTAAATCTGCAGAGTTACCGCAGAACCACTGGGAGCTACTCGAATTTTCATGTTCAATCGTTTTCTTCAGAACTACATACCCTGTTATAGATATCCAACTTTTTTGACAAGTTGTTGCAACCAATATTTACTGTCTCCACAAACTGTTGTTCTGAGATATACCTAACAGTTCCTTCAGAACTACAGATTCTCTGAAAAAAGAATCCAATAGTCTCCAATAGTTGAGGTTATCTATCAGCTGATAACATTGTTGATTTATTTACAACAATGATCTGATTTGGTGTGACTAGATTCTCCCATCAACTGATAGTATTGCTGATATATCTAAAACAGTGATCCGATTTGATGTAGTTGAGCATGAGCATGACATGATAGGGAATGATTAGACAATGTTATCTACGATGGTTGAATATACACATATATATAGTGGCTTGAATGCGTTCAAAGACAAAAGTATAGGAAGGGAACGTCCCATAACAATTTTCGTGTTGGTATGTTTTTGTAAAAGGTATAAACATAAATGTTTAAAAATGAATAATTGGTTTAAGCTGAACATCATATGACTCAGCATCAAAATGATAGCCATTAATATAACATTCTATAACCTCTATGTTTTATGGAATTTCGAACAAAGCTACTCAAGGGATATCTGCATTAGCCATTCTTAGTGATAAATTAGAAAAATGTCAACTAGTCAACACCACCCACTTCTAACTCTGTGTGTGTGATTTGACCGTCACTTTTATATGCACCCACAGAGTGTGATTTATCTCTCTCTCTTCTTTTTTTTTTGTTGGTATAACAAGGCGCCAACCACGAAACATCGAATCCATAGTCCATCAAGATAACCACTCGGCGTCTAAGATCAGCCTCTGTTTGGGGCTTTGAGATGTCACCCAATTTAATAATTTTCATATTTAGTATGGCCATTGTGACTATTAATTGTTGAATATAACTCCAAGAAGATTGTTTACCGTTCGATATTTGCTTTTAATGCGTTGACTTTTGGAGTTTCTTTGTTTATTCTTTGGTGTACAGAGAGAGAAATAGTGTTTTTTTTTGTTTTGTTATGACGACTAACTCATACAATCACTTAAATGTTGCTATTAAAGAGTATAACGTCCTTCTTCTGGATAACTATATACTAAACACCTAACAGAGAAGAAAAAAAACATTTACAGCATCTCTTGTGAATGTGGACTCCAATACATTGGAGAAACAATAAGATCAATAAAAGAATTTAGGAACATACACTAATACTAATCCCGCAATAGATCATCAATCTAGAGAAATAAACTATACAATAAGCTGGAATAAAACCGATGTGAATTACATATGAGAAAAAGCAAGATAAGAGGATCCACCTAAATGATAACACATTAAGTCAACCTAATACAGAAGTCATTAGAACCTGGATATCCCTCTTGAAAACATTCATACAGTTAAATAATTCAAGTTATAACTGGAGAAAACCTCAGTTGAGTTGTTCATGCACCAACCATCCATATTTATAAATGGGAAAAATCCCAGTCGAATGGACAACTCACTAGACTTCCTTAGTTCTAAATTAAGGAATCCCAGTCGACTGGATAATGCATCAGATTTGTATCTTTCTAACTAAGGGAAATCCCACTTGGGTGGACAACGTACCAAACTTCCATAGGTCTAAATAAGGGAAATCCCAATCAAGTGTAAAACACACCAGACATATACAGTTCTAAGTGGGGAACCCTATCCTACTCCAAAACGCACCAAATTTCAATTGTTCTAAATGAGGGAAACCGAAATAAGGTGTATGGTTCTAAATGGGGGAAAACCAATCGATTGGATAACATCCCAACTTTCCAATAAAGAGATCCAAATTCGACTCTCGCCCACTACTAACACACAAAAAGTTATTCTGAGGAATTATCAAAAGACGGCAGCAACCGAAATATAGGATGAAAATATTAGTAACTAATATCTAGCTCTGGGAGAAAGTTACTAACTAATCATCAGTGTTTGGTGATCGTATAGACTTGACCATTGTTTCCTATCGTCACAATATTACTGTAAGTGTTTAATATTTTCTTTTTTTTCCAGATATATAGACGGTGCTTGAACTGCAGAAAGTAAAATCGTGTTTATTTTTAAAATACACAAATAAATATCGTGAAAGTCGTGATAAAACACTTTACCATTCAAATAGAAGTATGTTTCATAGCTGTTATTGTTATAAGAACTTAGTGCCGTGGTTCACCTTTATTAACAACTGATGTGTTAAGACTATCTTTCGCTTTCAAACCAAGATTTAGCTATTCGCATTTTCTTCCTTCTCTTCCTCTAGAGTGTCTACGATGGGTTTGTTGTGGGTCTCTGGTAAGGTTAAAATAAGACATCCGGCTAGTAAGCAGAGTGCTCCAAACAGCCCCTGTGACAGAGCAGGGTCGACAGCTGTACCCTAGAAAGAGTAATATAATGTTAGTATTTTAATCATCATCTCCATCTATTTCTAGTGCCTGAAATAGACAATGGATTTGATATGAGGCTAAAAAAGCACATCCGGCTACTAAGAATAGTGTTAGAAAAAACACAGCAAATTTCACAGCTGTACCCTGATAACAGGAACAGAATGTTAGTACATTAATTATCAACACTACCTTTTTCTAGTGTTTGAAATGGACTTGATATAAGATTGAAACAAGACATCCTGATAGTCAGAAGAGTGATACAAAAACTAAGGAAGGTTACAGTTCTACCCTGACATCAGGAAGAGAATGATAATTTATTAATCATCATCTTCACCTATTTCTAGTGTCTGAAATGGATCTTATATAAGATTGAAAAAAAGACATCCTGCTAGTAAGAAGAGCACTACAAAAACACAGCCCTTCGAGGTGTATTCCTGTACGTGGTGAGGGGTCCTCCCAGGGAAGGTTCTATATCTTCATTTTACCTCCTCTACGATCTGAACATCCACCCAGGTGTTTGCCGTGCGTGGCAACCCGTGAAGTAGAGGAGAAGATCATGGTGGTTAAGTAGTGTCTGGGGCACTGCAACACGCCACGTTGGCCTTGAATTCCTGTAGACAGGTGGCCTTGGGGTGACTCCCCCAGGGTCAATCGGTTGGTCCTGTTGGGCTAGGGTCAACAGAGTACCAGTGTTAAGCATTCTCAACGGGTGTTGTAGACATTGTGTCTAATGCTGGTGTTTGGGTATAGTGCTCACAAAGCCCTGGCTTTGCTACAGTGTCTTTATTTGGCATTGTAGTATGTCCCCTCGAGGGACTCCATGGTGGGTGGGGTCAGTGGGCACTGAATTATTATCCTATTATTATGGATTCCTCAATCATTGGAAAAAACTCTGTTACACAGTCACCACCAAAGTCAGCTCCAGTACCTCGATTTTTAATTATTTATTCTTTATCTGACAAAGTCTTAGGGCAAATGTCTCCTTTTTCATTTAGAAGGGATTAGAGGGACTAGCTGGCTCTCTCAAGTCAGACAAGAAGTTGTATTCTGGAGACAACACATGGCAAACTCCTCCTGATGTCAAAGGCTTTGTGGGCATATCTATTGAGGTTATTCCTCATACTACTTTGAACTCTTCATAAGGAGTTGTTGTTGAGAGGGATTTGAAGAACATTCCCGAGTCGGAGATCTTCGCTGGTTTCTCCAGCCAAGGAGTTTCTGCTGTGAAGCATATCTCCACTTGGAAGCACGGAATTATGGTGCCAACGAATGTTTTGATTTTGACGTTTATATCGCCACATTCATCTGTCTCTGTCAGGGCAGGTTATCTTAAATGTAAGGTACGGCCATATGTTTCTAACCCTCTCAGATGTTTCCAGTGTCAATGATTCGGACACACTAAGGTATCTTGTCGTGTTTTTTTGGCGTGTGCTTGTTGTGGTGGCAAATATCATGATGCCTACGAGTTTCAACTGGACCCTCACTGCGTCAATTGTGGTAGTTCCCACCCCGCTTACTATCGATCTTGCCCTAAGTGGGTGGAGAAAAAGGAGGTACAGCATTTACGAACTGTTATCAACATTTCCTATCCATAGACTCAGAAACCGCTGTCCCCTGCTCCATCTTGGATATATTATGCTGCTCTCCATTCCACTGCTACAGTGAGAGTGCAGACATATCTTTCCATGCCTCCATCGGAGTCTTTCTTACATCACGTGAAGAGTCTTTTGCTCTTTATGTCTGCCCATATACTGTTGTGCTGTCGTTACGACTGTGAGCGTCGGTACTATTTTAGACATGAACGTTCTACGGGTTTACCCCTGACATTGGATGGTATCATTGGCGATCGTGACACTGTCGAACTTGATTGTGTTTCTAACTTTTTACGGGCCATTGGCCTTTTTACCTCCATTTGAGATTTTGTTTGAATTTTGGACATTTTTTAGCTTTTAACATGTATCTTTTTTTACATTTTTCTAGTTTTACTTTTTATTCTTATGTTTATACCGGAGTTTGATGCAGATAGCCCCGTTGCTTTGCGCCATTAAACACCAAACAACTAACAACCAACGAAGAAAAACACAGCAGGGTCGACAGCTGTACCCTGACACCAGGAACAGAATGCTCGTATATTAATAATCATCACTACATACTTAAAGTGTCTGAAATTTGTTTGATATAAGGCTAAAACGAAGCATCATGCTAGTAAAATGAGTGCTAGAAAGAAAACAGCAGGGTCAATAGCTGTACCCTAACATCAGGAACATAATATATTAATCATCAACTCCATCTATTTATAATGTCTCAAATGGGTTTGATAGAAGGCAAAAACAAGACACCAGCTAGCAAATACAGTGCCCTAACGAACACAGAAGCTGTACTCTAACAGCAGAAACAGAATGTTAGTTGCTTAATCATCATCTCAGCCTACTTCTAGAGTTTGAAATGGGTTTAATAAAATGTTTAACAGGACATCCTGCTAGTAAGAAGAGTGCTATAAAAAACTCTGGAGGGTCAATAGCTGTACCCTGTCAACAGATTCAGGCTGTTAGTGCTTTAATCATCCTCTCCACCTATTTCTAGTGTCTGAAATAGACAATGGATTTAATATAAGGCAAGAATATAACGTCCTGCTAGTAAAAAGAGTTATAAAATCACACCAGGGTCAATAGCTGTACCCTGTCAACAGATTCAGGCTGTTAGTGCTTTAATCATCCTCTCCACCTATTTCTAGTGTCTGAAATAGACAATGGATTTAATATAAGGCAAGAAT